TATACAGACTTAAAAGACAGCTGGTAACCAATTCAGAAATCCATCTGTCTGATGATTTAACCTGAGGGCAGCAGCCAGTATTTCAGGGGTTCTGGTGTGGCCATCAGATATCTAGTCAAAGACTTCTTCTTCTGTGAGACAGCCATTGTTTATGGTCTGTTTAGCAACTTCAGATGTCAGAATGGAGTTGGAGTTGAGAGACGATAATCTCTACAAACAGATGTCTGTATATGAAGGCAGATTAATTGAAAGAAAACTAAATCATTGCAGAAAAAGAGCTGATTGGTTCCGTGATTGCATTTAAGCCAATGTGTTCCAACTCTTTTCCATTTTAAGTGGCTGGCGCTGACTCCAAAAGTTGCTTGGAGTCGCCAGATGACATTATGTGACCATTTGCATAATGGTGACGCCATTGTGCATTGATGGAAGCGCTGAAACGTCACTGATTTAGATACAGTAGAAAACTCTTCAACAAAACATTTGACTGGCATGAAAGCTATGGTGCTCACCACAGTGCACCATTTTGTTGTGCTTCCAATCCAGAGAGCATCAGACAACCATACACACTCAGTACAACTGAACAACCATGGTGAGCGGCGTCTCCTCTCCTCATGCCTGTCCCAAACCTTCCGCACGGTGCAAGAGAGGGTGAGAGACCCTTCACACATGGCGGAAGAGGTGTGGACTGCAGGGGGATGATCCAATATATTTCTGTCTTTTTCTCTGATGGTGTGAATAAGTTGTTAAATTTGTCACTACTTGCTTTTTAGAAATGAAGTCGTAAGAGGCTGTTAAAAGTCTCTAAATCTAGTGAGAAAGTCACTGGGTTGGCAACACTGCGGCCAATTTGTTCTGCCTATTTTGCTCTCGACACAGACTGTTTACCTGCAGGTGACCAAAGACCGTGAAAATGTGATCGGTTAATATCCCTCAGACTACAGACGGAAACCAGAATGCCACCGATACCAAAGTCTTGTCTCGTTTGCCTTCAAAATCTGTATTCATATCCAGATATGTGTTTGTAGAGATTAGCTTGCAATGGAATTTGTGTTTATGTCCGGCACAGCCTCTGATTGAACTCGGTTCTTTCTTTTATTCCTTTACTATTCCATTACTCCCACAGTGGCATCTTCACCTCTGTTGGAATTTTCATTTAATCTCCTCTTTCCATTTACTTTTCTTGCTTCACTTGTGTGAACATATGCTGCCGTCAAATATGTCATGAGCTCGTGGCGTTGACATTCAGAATCGTGTGCATGATATGCTTGGCATTCAAGTTGTCCTGAGAACACTTCTACTAGGCAATGGCATCTGGAAACCACAAAGGCTAACAATTTAGCAAGCTAGCAAGTGGGTATATCAACATTTTCCTCAGTTACATTCTAAAATGACATAGAGAGAAAACACTAAAATTACAACATTATTTCCACGGCCTCTGCCATCTCTGAAAACATCAGCAATCACGTCCCAACTGGGGAAGTTGAAGCTGTCAGCAAACTTCTACTTCCAAGGTTGTGAATGCCACAAAGTGGGGGTCCTCATATGGACTGTTCTCATGAATACGGTAAACACAACCCCAGGAGAGTGCCTTGGGGAATGTCTTGAAACCTGGAAATGAGTCAGCATTTTTCTACTCGTCTTGAAGTCAGTGGGTTTTCGGTTAGACGCCTGAGACAAGCTCTGTGGTTAACACAAGCCTAAGAGACTTTCACATTTTGTCCTGTGACATAAGATGTCTGTAAATACCCTATCTGTGAATTCTGAAGCTTTGATGTGTCTTGAAAAAGTGGTCGCAAACAAGTGACAAAATGAAACTACAGAACATCATCATGATGAACACAGCCTTACAGCCATCCTGTGGGGACAATGTTGAGTCATGTGACCTTGGTGTTGTTAGTCTACAGCCTAACGTTAGCTTTTAACCTCTGGTGATTGCATTTAGGCTTCAAATATCATAAAAGATTTGTGAAGATTAACCTGCCAAAACAAAACAAAACAAAACGTGTAAGTACTTTGAACAATTGTTTGCCACAGAGCTTATTTTCTGTAATAATCCAAAATCCAGTGGAAAGAAATCCCACTGGCTTTTTGAAGAGGGAAGCAGGGTGATGCACCACCCAACAAAAAAAAGGTCATCCCTGGAGCACTCTACTGAAGGCAGCGTCAGAGCATCAAGTTTGCACAGGCTTAAATTACCTTCAGATAGAGCCAAAAGGGACGATAGGTTATTGTTAATTCCATGTTATACCATTGATATTGTTTATAAAGCGCTACCGACACATGTTATATGTCACACCTACCGACACTGTGGTGTTATGTCAAGCCCGTCATGCCTCCTTTGATTATGCGCTGTATAATCACACACTGCTGCAGAATGATGCTGCCATTGTTTGGGTTTGTGTAGAAATGCAAAGGAGGCATAAAGCAGGGACTCCATAGCAGCCCCACAGTGTGATCTCTGTGTAAAAGAGCTCAAGGACAGTGAGGTTTGATTTTTCAGGGGTCAGTGCCTCTTGCTCTGAATTTGATTCTGGCTTTGGTGGCTGACACATGTATGGATGTACCAGTCCAACAAAAAAGAGCATCCATTGTAGCACTACAATTAAGAGAGGCTGCAGCTTTCCCCGCGAGTGGGCGTGGATTTAGCGCATTCGGCAGACATGCCCCCGGCGTCTCAGAGCAGAGAACACTGTCTCTTTTTTAATTATTTTGAAACATAATTTTACACACTCTGCAACTTTTTTAATAATTCAAATTTGTCTGAGTGCTTCATAACACATTTGTCTGTGGTGTGACAAACTCATTACACCCAGATTGTAACGCACAGACATGAATGTGGTATCACTCTTCACATCTAACTCTTGGCGCAGAAGCATATAAGCATATTTCCCAAAATGTCAAACCATTTCCTCCTACGCTTCCACATTTGACCAGTAATATGTACAGTTAGGAAGCCTGTAGTCAGTCCTCTTTTTATTCTCTCTTTTGGCTACTTACACCAACACACATTCATAGCCAAGATACAAAGTAGTCAAGTAGTTTGGGTGGTAAAAACCAGTCAAGTCTTTGAATAAATTAAACTGCACTTAAAGAACACAACCATCTAGCGTGGCATAGATATTATTGTACAAAAGGTTTAATGCTGCTCTCTTATTATAGTGCTGTACATGTGTAACATCAACAATAATACCTTTTTTTAAAATTAAGTGCAGATTCAGTGTTGGCAGATAACAGCTGATTCCCCTCTGCCTGTAGCCCACTTTTCAAATAAAATGAAATAAAACATCAATGTGATGAAAGTTCACACAGTAAACAGATACAGGTTCTTCTCTTCTTTTCAGATGCTTTGAATTTTGAGGACTCCACATTTGTCATCCTATTGCTGCATGATGAAAAGCTTGAATTTGAAAAGTACCTTTTTGAAGACAAAAGCAGAAAGCCGTCTGTTTCAAAAAGAACAACGACGCATTCGAAACTGACGTGAAAAGGGTTTCATGTGCGGAGACATTATGAGACTTTGTAAAAACCATAAAATCCTCAATTTGATCTAAACAGGAGTTGAAGTGCCCTGTGTCGCAGCAGCCCTGTGAGAAACGGGATGTTGGCGGAAGCTGCTGTCTCCCTCAGCTGTGCATTCAGGCAGACAGACCGTAATTTAACAGCTTGGTGGTGCTGTAGTTCTCGTAAAATATCTTAGGCTAAATTACAGTCATCACTTCTATCTGGCTGCATAAGTCATCATTTCCCAGCATTGAGCTCACGAAGAAGTGAGTGGTGAAATAGCCTAAACCACGTCCCTCTTCCTGTCCTACTTACCGAGATTGTCTGTGAATATCTTAACTGCAGTTTTTTTCCCTTATACTCTCATATTGCTATCAGATATGCTGAGACAAACCTCGCACAACTTTGACACAAACATTTCTCTTATGGACTGTTCGTTACTTATCGGGGGGATGGGTTGGTGCAAAAAAAGGGGAAACATGTCGAATATTTTTTAAGCACTGGGGAGGGACATACAACTTTAAATGGTTCATGCATTTCAAAGTGCTACCCATTTGGAGGTGGTGAAAACTTAATGTTTTGCTTTTTATTTTACTTTCTGTTGGCCTTGCTGACAGACAGCCGGCCAGCTTTACTAAAATGTGATAACTAGTGCCCACTGCCCACCTTCCGCTGGACTGGTTTCTTGGCCTCTCTGCACTGTGCATCACTTGGGTCAGGAGGGTGCTAATGTTAGCTAGCTAGCAGCACCGCATATTCTGCAACTACAGCTGGTGATGCCGTCCTGGTGGCAGACCGCTTTTCTGTGGAAACATTGTGTCCACCCTCTGGTCTCTCCCCAGCTCACTCTGGTTATTAAGCACAGGGCTTGACGCTAACTTTTTTTCCCAAGGAGCACATGTGCTCCTAAGTTGAAAAAGTAAGAAGCGCAAGGAGCGATCAAATAATGTGTTTTCCATAATAAACGTGACGCAAATAGACATTAACAAGCAAAATTATTTAATGAATTTGTATACAAAATGTACAGAAAGGTAAAATCATCAAGTTTTGAAAAAGTATTGCAATTTAATTTTGTCTTTAATGTTATTATCTTATATAAATTATCTTTGCAATATGATTATCTTATATAATGTTATTACTATCCTAAAACATTCTCCAGGTCCTCTGAAACTCTGCAGGACTTATTTCCACCCTGCCAAGCAGCGGTACCGTGGCGAACGGTCCCTAACTATGGGGAGAACGGAGCAGGCTTCCCCAGAGGTCCGCCGCTTTTCCTGGTCCCTCGTCTCCTCCACACCACGCTGACGACAGTGGGACTTATATTCATTGTGCCGACAGTGGCTTGGAAAACCGCCCATAACTGTGTCACACGGGGAAGAGGGAAGACGGAAGGCAGCTGGAGTCCTCCAACATTTGCGGTTAGATTATCATATTCTTTTATTGATAAAAATATAGGCTGCTTCGGCTGTTTTTTTTATGCGCACATGTGCCCCTAAATATTTTTTACAGTTTGCACACACCTATTTTTAGTCGCAAATGCGAGTGAAACGCTCGCACTGTCGGGCGCTGAAGCGGCTTCGTTTTGTACCGCAAACCCCGCACCCTTTTTAGCATTGTTTACTATGTTAGCACTACTAGCTGTGCTGAAAGTGCTACCAGTAATAACATAGTCAGCACTGCTCAAGGAGTTTTACAGCACTATGTTTTTTTCAGTGAGCTTTGGGGATAGCAGAGGGTGGGCACAATGTTTCCACTAGAGTGCTGTTGGGTTGGGTTGCACTACCAGCCTTACTGGCCGAATGAGCGGCGCCGCTAACACTAGCTAGTTCCCACCAGACTGGGGCTGTACACAGTGCAGTAAACTGAAGAGTAGCAAAATTTTCCAAATGACATGTAACTGGTCAAAAATACTCTCTGCAGGTAACCGATTGATGGTTAACCATTAATTCCTACATTTGGCTCAAGGAAAAATAATAATAGCTTTGGGGAGGGTCCAAATAAAAAACAACTTACACCAGCCCGTCTCTGATAAGTAAAGAACAGTCCCTTATTTTTGAAAACTGGATTTTTTTCTTTTTTTGATGGAAGAACATTATATGGATTTTTTTTTTTACAGTGGTTGACCAACTACAGTTACTGCATTCATAAAGTATGGAAGTGCAATTGAGTTCATCTAACAAGACTGAGCCTCGATCTGAGGCTGGACTGATTGTCTCTTCGGACACAGTATCTTTGAGAAAGCCCTTCGAAAGCTTCTGTGGCACAGGGGGTAAAGGAACGGGTTGATGGCAGAGTTCAGCCACAGAAGCCAAAATGTAATCTCATACCAGTAGTTCGCCACACACTTACCGCTACAGGCGGCACGAATGATCATTAGGAGAGTGTAAGGAGCCCAGCAAATCCCAAAGATGCAGACAATAATGGCCAAAGATTTGGCGATCTTTTTGTCCCGAGTCAGACGAGATCCCAGCGTCCCACGGCCAGGGGCCATGCAGGAGGCCGTGTGCTGAAACAGCCTGGAGTTTTTTCTGTTAGGAGACAACTTCTCCCGCTGCATGAATATCTGACTGTTATTAGGGTCCCCACCACAGGAGGAAGGGGAAAGGACATCGTCATCCTCGATGACCGCAGAGATAGCAGTAGGCTCACTGGACGACACCTTCCGAGTCTTCACAAAAAACACAGACCAACCTGTTCCGTCTTTGTGCTTCTTAGTGATCCTTTGCGTCTTGACTTCTTCCTCAGAGCAGGCGCCTCCATTCTTGGTCCTGCGATGGATGTTTAGGTAAATGCTGAGGTTGAAGAAAGCTACTGACACAAACGGGGTGAAGAACTCAAAGGTAGAAGCGCAGAGCAGGAAGTACCAGGTGAAATAAAACTCGGCGTAGCACTCATGAGCCGGGACGACACTCTGGCCGACGACTGTCTCCCAGAAGATGATGGCAGGGCCGTAGAGGAGGAAGGCCAACACCCACACTGCCACCATCTTGAGCACAGCCTGGCGGGTCATGTTTCGCTGTGCTCTGTATTTAACCTGCATCAAAAGAGAGGGAGAAGTGTGACTCACAGTGATGAACATAGAGGCCCAAACCCATTTCTGATTTTTACTCCCCCCCCCCCCCCCCCCCCCCCCCCCCCCCCCCCCCCCCCCCCCCCCCCCCCCCCCCCCCCCCCCCCCCCCCCCCCCCTCTTGAGTGCCACCTTGCCCCCAAGGGGTAGTGGTTGAAATCTTCCCTTATGAAATGGGACAACCTTTCAAGACCCTGATACCTCATCAGTGGTTGTCGATTCTGCCGACATGACCAGTGTTGCAGGACTATGCCGTCTCCTGCTGTGGTCATTGCTCTAGCCTGGGCTACAGGCATCCTATTGTGGTTGTAAGGATGCTGTCGATTAGTTCGCAAGTTCCAGGTTTCATGGTATCAATCGATCAAAGAAGTTATTAAATTAAAAAGAACACTGCTTCAATACCAGGCCACTAACGGTGCTCTGTAGGCAAACATTAGCAACCTGTGCTCTACTGTGCCAGTCTGCACTGATATCGGAGAAGCGCTCACAAGTGTAGCAACTTCTCTGTGGGTCTTTTGTTCCATTTCCAGCGTCATACGCCATCACAGGGGGGTAATGCCACGGACATGTGTCAAAATGTGGGACCATCATGCAGAAATCAGCGATAACAATGTAACACTAGCTAGCTAGCTAGCTAGTTAGCCACATGGGGAAATTGGCATACTTGCAATTTCTTTAGTTATGCTTGATATAAAGGAAAGGATAATACTTTAAAATGACAGTTGTGCAGGACTGAATCCTAAAACCCAGAAAATAGTTGGTATTTTAGCACTCCTGGTTCCCTCATCTCAAAGTCAATGTTTTTTTTAATGGGTTTCTGGTTACGTGTTCCACGACATAAAATACATCAGTGTGAACTAGTGAACTTTTAAGCTTTTACATATCTTTGAAAAGGTGGTTACTAAGAAGCGGCTAAATGAGACGACAGAATGTCATCACACTGAACACAGCTTTATGCCTCATTTTGGTGGCAACGTTAAGGTAGCGTAGTTTGTTTAGCTTAATGTTAGCTTTTTACTTCTGGCAATTGCACATATGCTTCAAAAATCATAACAGTAGTTTTAATTTGTGAAGAAATCTCACTGAACAAAATGTATAAGTATCATAAACGTTTGTTTGACACAGGGCTTATTTTCTGCAATAATCCAAAATCCAATGAAACTCCAAAATCCCTTAAGCTTTCTGCTGAGGGAACCAGGGCAATGTTTCATTTGCAATGGCATACAAAAATATCATCATCCCTGCAGCACTGTTAAACCATAATAATATTATGGTTATCACAGTCTTTAAATCTTTATTATCAGGGCGTCGGTGGCTTAGTGGTAGAGCAGGCACCCCATGTACACGACTGTTGCCGCAGCAGCCCGGGTTCGACTCCAGCCTGTGGCCCTTTGCTGCATGTCACTCCCTCTCTTTCTCCCCCCTTCACGCTCATCTGTCCTATCAATTAAAGGCCTAAAAAAAAAAAAAAAAAAAAAAAGCCCCAAAAAATATCTTTAAAAAAAAAAACTTTGTTATCAAGGAAAATACAAGTGTGCCTCTGAAAAACCTCCATTTGGAGGGCCATGTAGCCCTGACACTTTGCCCTATTCCTCAGTTCCAACAAGAATCGGGACACCCTACCCCCTAGATGTAAACACGCAAAACAATGGGGTAAGGGCTAAGTGGTAGGGGCAAAGGGTGTTCTGGGATTGGGCCAAACTCTGCTGCAGAATAACGCTATTTGTTTCATTCCACAGCTGTTCACATAACAAACGCGCTTGCTTCTGCCCTGGGTGCTCAAATAAAGCCCAGTTTGCATTATGAGATGCTGTAAATGAAACCGACACGCAAGGCTCCTATTCCACGGTGTGCCACTGAAACCAAAGAGAGAGGAGAAATGTCAGGCTGAGAGCCACATTCACTGATGCAACACAAGAGTGTGAAAGAGACATCTGGTTTCTCCCAATCCACTCCTCCCTCGTTATCACCCGCCGCTCATTCTCTTCACACTCGCTCCATTTTCACTCCTCAGTCTAAACTCTATCATTAAGCAGCTCTCCTCTGTTTACCACTCTTTTTTTATTGGTGTTTTTTTATCTTGTCTTTGCCTCAAACCATCCAATATCTCTCTGCGGCAAGAACAGCTGGGTAGGTCTGAGACAAGTGTGACCTTAGTTAAAGAGCAACTTAAAAAAAACAAACACTTCTCTGAGTCAGTGAATAATGAAACAAAACCACTTCATGATGCTAATAACGGATTCTGGCCCCGCTATTGAGTGTTCATTACAAAAGCGCAAGACTCCCCATTTCCATTGTAAATTACAAAAATCCTTCTCTCTGGAATGAGAATTAATACATAAATAAATAAAATTTCCTTCTAAGCTGGCAAGATCAAACCCTCAATCAAAGGAAGATAAAAGCAGCCACAAGCAAAGAGATGTTATTACCATACACTACTCAGTGAGCAGCTAAATACACTTCATTTTTTCTGTGGCGTCTAACAAATGTAGTCAGTTAGAAATAACACAGGCAGCAAGACCATGTAAATGATCCACACGGAAATATTTCAGTTTTGTGCCAATCGAGGTCAAATGGACATGTTGTCTGGTTTATTCTTGGGAAGAAGTTTTTATAATTGATGACTAATATTGGCCATATGTGTGGCACTGTCTTAAAAGAATAATCAAGTAACCGAGGCTTATGTCTGGTTGTACACTGATGAAGCCAATAGGGGGAAAAATATCTGTTAGTTTTTGTTCTGGAGGGGGTGTTAAAGGTGCACTCCAGCTATTTAATATTTAACTTTCATATGGTTGGCGGACAAAAGACACATAAAAAAAACAAAGCAGCAGAGAGCAAGATATGCTGAATTTTAGTCTTAAATATTAATCAAGGTCCAAAAACCTTGGATCCTACATTTCTCATGATGCAGCTCAATAGCATGCTTTATCAGACCTTTACTGCCTCCCAACAGCCCGATTGCCAGAAGAAAATGTTTGCATTGTACGTTCCTACAAACCACGACTAAGTTATATTTGTCGATTTTATAAGTATCATATCAGCGTTTCTAAAGTGGCGTGGTGTATGAGCTGACTTTGTCATCGGGAGGTGCGAGTCGCCTGCCAAGCTGCAGACCACTGTTTGAGACTAATTAACAACACAAACTAGTTGTTTTAGGAAGTTGTCACTGTTTTTCCAGCAGCTTTTTAGCTAGCAAATTTTGGGTGTTTTTGTAGCGACCTGTAGCGGTTTTTTCAAGAAAAGCATCTGATTTTAATAAAGGCATCACTTTGTTTCCTGTTGGGATAGTGCCACGAAAAGCAAGAGTTTTTTACGGAGACATCGCTGCATTTCCAGCTGGGATAGTGCCAAGAAAAGCAGCCAATTTTTAGAGACGTTGCTGAATTTCCAGCTGGGATAGTGCCAAGAAAAGCAGCCAATTTTTAGAGACGTTGCTGAATTCCCAGCTGTGATAGTGCCAAGAAAAGCAGCTAATTTTTATAGAGGCATCACTGAATTTCCAGCTGGGATAGTGCCAAGAAAAGCAGCTCATTTTTATAGAGTCATCACTGAATTTCCAGCTGGGATAGTGCCAAGAAAAGCAGCTGACTTTTACAGAGACACAGTTGTGTTTCTTGCCAGGATAGTGCCACAAAAAAGCAGCAGTCGAGATATCACTGCATTTCCAGCGGGGATTGTGCCCCCAAAAGTGGGTATTTTAAGCCAAAACAAGATCTTGTCCTGACAATAACCAAGTGGGTTGTTGAAACATGACATAGCTATGTAATAACGTACAAATGTAATGTATCTGTAGTCCGCAGAAGCATACAATGCCAACAATTTTTGGGTGATTGGGTTGCTCCTAAATGCCCACTGCTTCCAAACCCCACACCTCCTAGAAACTGTAACTCGTGGGATGCCCAGCAGTTCAGCAGATAGAGCAGGCCTCCTGTGTACAAAGGCTTTGTCTTTGCCACAGCGGCAGTGGGTTTGATTCCAGCCCGTGACCCTTTGCTACATGCCATCCCCCTTCACTCTCCCCTATCACGCTTGAATTGTCTTATCAAAAACAATCATCTTTTAAAAAAAATGTAAGTCTCAAAGCGAGCTGGCCAGGTGTTTATTTTAAATGTTGAAAAGCTCCACCAGAGCGACAGAGGGCATTATGAAACTGTTTTCATTGAAGGAGTAGTTCCCCTTAAATTAAATTATACTGGTCCTTATAGACTGCTGAGTTGCCTGCTAATGTCTGCATCCAAAATATTTACATACCAAATCACCCAGGCGGCTCAAGCTCTGTGCTCAAATTGACTGGACAAAATTAGAGATTAAAGCCAGACACACTTGTAAAGGAATAAAGCTGTGAATGTCAATGACTTTTCACTGCCGAGCAAACTGCCCTGGAGAGTGACACATTTTAGAATTGACTGTGGTACTACGTCTACGTGGTGTGTGTGTGTGTGTGTGTGTGTGTGTGTGTGTGGTAATGAGCACCTCTGCAGCCTGTACTTACTGCTCTTGTGACTGACAGGAAGCGGTCATAACTAATGAGGACAATGTTGAAGACTGAGGCCGTGCAGAGCAGGTAGTCCATAACCAGCCACACCTTGCAGAGCCCCTTACCCAGCATCCACCGGCCTGTCAGGTTGTAAGGGATGTACACCGGGATGCAGAAGGCACCTGGAACACACACACACACACATGCACACACTGCATGTTGATTCAACCCGTCTAACATTCACACCTCTCCAGACCTCCAGACAGCCTGGATGTGAGACCCATTACATGTGACAAAAAAATTAAGGGATGCTGCTGTTACTGAGGCAAACCCCTGCAGAGAAAAAGTGAAAGACATTTGAGAGGAGAGCAGCTTGTATTGGTTGTTTCATTAAAGAGAAGGGTCTAATTCATCTAATGGTGCAGATAAGAGCAGCACAACAAGAGGGGTGTGATTGCTTTACCTCAATGAAATAAAGGGATGCTACAAATATCCATGGTGCACATGAATGAAGCAAAAAAAAAAAAAAGACAAGGTCACAATAAACTCAGCAGTGAACACTAGTGACTCACTGTAATTATACTGTGTGTGTGTGTGTGTGTGTGTTTGGGGCGTGGAGAAAAAGCCCTTTTTTCATTCACAAGGAGGAATAAGAGATTTTAAAGAGCCAAATTTGAGCGACCTGACAGATGAGACGCAAAGAAGAAGAAGAGGCACCAACTCACCCACGAGAAAATCAGATATAGCCAGGTTCAGAAAGAAGTAGTTGCTTTGGATTCTCAGGCTATTATCCACAACAAAAGCCATGATGACCAGCGCGTTCCCAGCCACCACCACGACAACCAGTGTCACCATGAGGACCGATAAGATCACCGCCAGGTAGCCCGGGAGGACAGTCCCAGCCTCGGACACAGCAGGAGTCAAGTTGCCGCTGGAGTTGGTCTCCAGAATGTGCGCGCCCATAGTTAGAATACAGCCAAAACCATCGTAGACCCTTTTGTTCCGTTTCACGCACAGAGTCCAATTACGCGCCCAAACGTTCCGCTCCACTTTACCCAGGAGTCAAACATGACTGGAGACCTGTGGTTTAATGGAAACACTTTTCCCAAATCTTCCATTTTCCCTGGAATAGTTCTGTGCTAAGAAGAGACACAAATTTAACTTAAAGATTATTTTTTTATGAAAATAATTGTAGATCCTCTGTGCGCGTTTCTCTCTGGTCAGCAGGTTTACAGTAACAGTGCTGGCTGCTGGATGTGCGGGTGCTGAGGAGCGCACACTTGCTTTTGTCACCAATGTCAAGACTACTAGAGTAGAAAATCAGCACTATATCCGCTCGTACTTTCAAAATAAACGTCCTACAAGAACGTTTTGTGAGAAAGGGGAAGACGCTCAAAATATGCGTCCTAAAGCAATTTTTATGTCGAATTACGATGACTGTTTTTTCAACACATAGCCTAACCTTAGAGAACATGATAATCGAAGCCTATATGTTTCCTCAAAGGCAACCAAAATAAAATGTCTTAAAACGTTTGTGTAAATGCACCTAAAACCATAGTGATGTGTCCGTTTCCCATCAGATGCATCCAAAATACAATTAAATCACTTTAAATTTCTCTTATGTGTCTGTTTCCAGCAAGTGCAAAGGTTTAATTTAGAAATGGGGGGGACACAACATGAAATAAGCGGTTTGGGGTCATCTGCAAGAAAAGTTTTAGCATCAAACGGTTAATTTTTGCAATTCTGGAGAATGTGTATGCACCAGTTTGAGCCTTTTTAGCATTTATGATGTACATGTCTTATATTTATCAAATTAAAGTCCCTGCTACGCTCACATTTGTCGAAAATGGATGGGAATGAATATGTTGTAAATACCTATATAACCCCTGAAAATCTACACCCATGGCTGTGAGTAAAAGGAAGAGGTGTATAATTTTTTCGCTTTTATTTTGTAGGCCACTCATCTTCCGGCCTTACTCAGGTAATTTCTGCGCACTTGACGTTTTGCCTCTTTGTCCGCGCAGCAGCTGATCAAAGGCTGAAGTCTGCAATCAGAAGCTGAAGTGGTCCAGACGCCTGAAGCAGGCTGAGATGAAATGATCCGAGCCGCTGCCAGCAGGATGTCCGCAAGGAGCCAGGCATCATCAGCTGACAGATATTTACACCAAGCATCAAGTCTAGTCATTCAGTCAAGTGATTCAGAGGTCAATGTCCACTTGACAAAAGCTGGAGACACCATTACAGTCCACTTCTTCCTTTGATGTTTTCACCAAGATAATCACTGTTAAATCCAAACACTAAAATTAAGTATTTATAGTGTATGTTTTATTAAGTATTTGCATCTTATTTGTGTCTTAGATTTATTGTATTTAAACTCTTCCCACTTTCCCTCTGGATGAATAGGACATTTTTATAATAATACATCTTATGAAGGAGACATTAGAGCATGAGCATGGAGAGTCTGTTTAATTTTAGAGGAGGCAACTTTCCCACAAATTCAATGTTCTTCATCTTTTTAATTGTCTTTATGTTTTCATATGTAAAGTGTTCAAAATTAAAGGAATACCTCACCCCCCCTATGATCATTTATATATCAACTGCTCACCCTGTGTTACGCTGAATTTGGCAAGAAAACTTTATCGTATGCCTCAATGTTAAACAAAGAATCCAAAAACAGAGGAAAATGAAAAAACATCATTAAAACATGTTCACAAACTCTCACACAACTCGTTTCATATAATCCAGCGCTTATCTATTTAGTCGTATACTCAGTACTTCCTAAACAGTGAAATTTATCTATGCACATTTCAAAGCCAGACTCCAGTGACAAAAATAGTAATTTTACCTCACCAGTGAACAAAGGGTCCAAAAACTGGAAAAAAAAATTCTTCATGAATTAAAGTCACTGAGGTCCAGTTTTAACAACATCACAACATCAATTTAGAAACCCTTACACAACTCGTGCAGTATAATCCTAGTCTCATTTATCCAGTCAGTGCCTGTGTTTGGGAAGCGCTAACCATATGACTGGAAAAATGAGACTTCAATTCTACTGCGCAAGCTGTGTGAGAGTAATTTTTCAGTTTTTGGATTCTTTGTTCACTTTTCGTCACAAATTTAGGGTAACGCATGATGAGTAATCAATAAACAAATGGTTATTTGGGGGATGAAGTATTCCTTTAAATAAATAAATACGACACTGTGATATAAATTAGCATTGTGACACTGGCTGCAAGATTGTCAAGTAAGATTATAAAACACAATGTGACTTCATAAAGACAATATATCAATAAATGTATTCATGTATTTTATTATTTTCCTCATTAACTGAACACTCCTGGTTTCCATACTTGCATACTTTGAAAGGAAATGTACATTTTGTGATTTTGCTGCAACAATCAAAGTCTTCGGCTCTCCCATATTCTCCTGTATGGATTAAATTTTAAATTGAAGTAAGCTCATTATTCTCAGCCCCGCGTATTATTTTAGCTTCATGAGTTCCTCACAAGCCTCTAAAAAACATAATTAAGGGCTGAGATGATGGGTTTGGCATGACAGCTTGTCAGGGAGAAACAGCTCTATTAAGTGAATTAGCTGTAATTATTCTCAATGGCTAGAATGCACAGGCAGCTTTGTACACAGACATGGAGTAAATTTCAGAAATCTCAGCCTGTTGTTAGTCATTTGTGTTCTCACTCCAATGAGATGTACTTATTGGTTTTATTCCCTCAAGATAACTAAACACAGAGATAAAAGACTTTTATTCTTTATGTCACAACAGTCAAGTAATAGTGGTGAAAACACTGCCAGGTGCGAGCCCTGGATATTTTTAGAAAGTAGCCCTCTGCTGCCAAAAGCCAACCCTGGAGTGGTTAATATGCAGAACGTGTCTTTCCAGGGATCAAGTGACACCAAAACGGAGAGGTGAGGCAAACTCCCACAGGAGCCGATGTGGGGTAAAAGCTTCAGTAGAACACACTACTGTGAAAAGTTGAATATTTAGCAGGCTTCAACTGGATGTGCAATGCACTGAGGACAACGGGCATGTGAATTATGTGTATGAGTATGAGAGCGTCAATAAAACTTAGTGAACTTTGCTGTGCCGTGATCATATTTCTTAGAAACGCTGAATGAATTGTGTATGAATTTCATTCACATGCCGATTCGGCTGAAAGCTGAATTAACACGTACAAGGACAAGTATTCACACATTTACATCAGGACGGAATGGAACATTATGATTTAAAATGAATGATGGAATAAAGATGCCTTCTCCTGAACAAAATCCTCCATTAAAGCTTGTAATGATGTGGCTGTCTTATAAAATGGAGACTGATCACACTAGGATTTTTAGTACAAATCTCATGTTTGTTTTAATGAAAATATGTACCGTAAACATTTCATTTCAAGACTCCTCACATAAAACGGTGCAATATAAAGTCCGTCATAATTTTCAGTCAATTATTTCTAGTTGCAAGAAATCCCTGGTTGTTGTTATTAAAGGAAAAGTGTGTAAGATTTAGGGGTATTTAGTGGCATCTAGTGGTGATGACTGCATATTGCAACCAGCTGAAACTTCTCCTGGTTGAAATTCCCTCAGTGTTCTTTGTTCAGGAGATTTTTACCAGGAGCCGACTTATCCGCAGTGGTCTATTCCTCTCCAAAACAAACAGACCAGGTGATAAAAACTGGTAAAAACACTGGATAAAGCATTTTCATGTTACAGATCAGTGTTTCTCCAACACTGTTTGGCATGTCTGAGACAGGATGCTATACTGTAAATGACCTAGCGTAAACTCTTATCCTGTAATATAAGGTGTGCGTGACTGGATATAGACTATTGTTATCCTGATGTGACTTGATTCTGGCCAAACTTGGTTATGTGAGGAGAAGCAATTGTTCTCCGAGCCGGTTGTCTGAATAACAGGAAAACCGTTGCTTATGTGACAGGAAGCAGCTTTTAATGTGTATTGGAGAGCTGTAGGTGTGTCAACTTAAACTGCATGTTTGTTAGACACTATACATTGTCATGATGTACTAATTCTTTGGCTTTCTCGCAAGTAAACCCTCAAATGTGCAACTCCATGTCTGAGCCTCTCTTATTTTAAGTCTTGTCTATGCTACAACAATGCTAGCCTAGCAACTGCTAATGTGCACTCGTTCAGGAGGTTTTTACCAGAAGACAAATTATCCACAGAGGTCTCTTCCTCCCCAAAATAAACGGACCAGGTGATTAAAACCCATAAGATGCTGAATAAAGTAGTATCACATTACAAATCAGTGTTTCTCTACTGCTGTTTGGCACGTCAGAGACTGGCCGCTAGCCTAGCAACTGCTGATGTGCCCTCACCTTTTTTCAGAACCAGACGTTCAGGAGGTTTTTACCGGAGGTCTCTTCGTCTCCAAAACAAACAGACTTGGTGAACCCCTAAAAACGCTGAATAAATCACTTTCACATTAAAAATTGTTGTTTTTCCGATGCTCTCGTTGTGGAGGGGCTTCTAGCTATGATGGCTGATTCTAAGATACAAAAACACAATTCTTTTTTTCAGGTGATTATACACTTAAGAAAACATACTCGTATTCAATTTTTGCCAACATAGCCCCATAAATCCGACACACTAGACCTTTAAGACACACCTGAATCACAACACTCTGAAAATGTGTTTGAATAAAAGTCTTTCTCTCTTCAGAAATTCATTTTGTCTTCTTGTTCTTTGTCCTTTTGGCCTTCGCTCCAGATTTGGTGGCCTCATCCTAGAAACGAGAAGAAAGGGTTAGAGAATGGACAGACTAATAATTATCTTACATTAGCACTGCGCTTAATGGTACCAAAGCCTTTTCCATGTTTAATATTTGAGTGCTGTTTCAAAGCTCACAACTCAATTTATGAGAGACACTTTCACCTGAGCTCCTGCTGCGTTTCCCTGCTTTACTGAAATGTGCGCATTACAATGTGCTGATTGGCATGCACCCTACTGTTCTAATGTATTCAAATAATTGCATCAAACCAAACATTGCATTCTTAAGTACTCTCATAAAACATCCTCTGCTAATTATTGCAGTGACAATGCAGGCTGGCCAACTTGTAGACCTCCCAACACTGTAACAGCCTCTCTGGACAAAAAACAAGTATAAATGATAATTCTGTTTCATACAGCCAAGTGGCAAATGTGGCAAATTTAATATGCATGCTTCCCCTTCAAATCTCATATGGTGTTTGCACCTTATGGTGTTTCGCAATGGGGCTGTTAAGCAGTCACTCTCAATCATTTGTTGTCCCAATTACCATTAAAAAATGTTCCTCCCCCCTTTGGGATTGGAGTTTTCTGCCCGTTGTGGCCGACAGGAAATCGCCTCATTGCTATTTTTAATAAGCAACACACATGCTGCAAAATAACTGGCAGCAACCTTTCATCTAGGCAGGTCCTGAGGTGTGAAATTGGTGGTTCAGCTCTTTTTTTTTTAGTCTATTTTCTTCCTAAATCCAATCCAAGTGTTCACAGATTTTATCTAATTTTGCATTCCACCAAAATTGTCACCCACTCTCTCTTCCCCAGAATTACTGTCCTGTTTTCAATTTACACTTCAACTCAAAAATACAAATGACAGGATGAGGCACTGGGACAGAAAGAAACTCACCTGAAGTGTTTTGTTTCTTCCTCAGACAATAGAAAGTTCTGGATTTCCATCAACAGCATCTCCTACAGATTAACCTGGTGTCCCTCAAGGGTCAATTCTGGGTCCTATTTTGTTTCCTATATGTATGCTTCTTCTTGCCCAGAGGGGAGCGTATCTATGTTCCCAGGGTCCTATGCTCCCCGGCTTGATATACTCTAATTATGACACATTAAAGAGACATTTCAAATAGTTCTATTTTCTCAGCAATGTTTTTTCTCTAGGTCAAATGGTCAGTAAATGTTTCCCGGGTCAATTATGTTGAAGTCGCCCACCTACAGCTTATAGCCCACTGACATTATACATCTTGAAACCTACGCCTAATGACAGTTTTCTTGACTTTAGACACTCATCTTCACAGTGGCTCAATGGGTTTTAACCATTCAAACTGCATTTGAAACATCCATCTTCTTTTTGCCTTTGCAGTTGAACTGCAAAATTAGCCCTTACCAATCTCTTACAGGAAAGACCCTGGAAACATAGGGATGACGCCACTAAGAGTCTTGGCAACTAGTCACAGTCATGCTGTCTCCAGCTGACCAGTTGTGTTCAGATTTTGTACCTGCCTATGTTACTTTTGCTATAAGGTTAAAGGGACCAACGCACAGTAATGTCTACACTCTCACTAGCTGCTTGCTAGTCACATAAGTAGTTGTGTTGGTGCAGCTGGACGTATCTCTGTCAGCAGAATTCAACACGTCTCCTTTCATGGGGCAAAATGGACAGCCACAAAGCACTTCCAACTCTTATAAAGGCCAACTCGTAAAATGGGCAAGTTATGGAGCTTTTAGCATGCTATCACCGAAACAAACACATTAGGGTGCATTGGCACAAAAGATATGTGGTCAAATGCATCCCAGAGCACCCTGGCAAGTGGTTCAGGTGATGGAGGGCCTAATTTATAACCACTGTGAACTCACCAAAAAGAACTTGAACTGTGTGTACACCACTTTCTAAGCATAACTTGGGATTTATAAAGAAAAAGTTGAGTAAATGTGCGTAAATTTAGGGAAACTCTGACCCACATTTTGGAGAGTGGAGAAATTGGCGACACAGATGGTGAGGTGGTGAATTGAAGCCAGATTGTGGAAATTAGATGTGAAAGGAATCATTATACATATGATCTCTCACACATTTAAAGTCACCTCATATCACACATTTCATATGAATCACTACATAAATATTCAAATACAGTAGTGTTTTCGTGTTTGCTAGGCTGTGGCAGGTGACAGGATTCAGTAATGTTCAGCTTTCCTTTACCCAATAATAAGCGTGAATATACTGAGGCATTTTCACCTCAATCACGTTAACCAGGCTAAATGATGTTATCTTGGGTTTCTACAACTGACAATGTTAATTTCATCAGACACCATTAAATATTTGCACTGCGCTGACATTTTTCAATAATCGTTTCTAATACTGTGCATATACTGTATCATCTCGTACGATATTTGTTTTCACATAGTTTTTGCAGTGGTGTAGTGGTAGCTGATGAGGTGGGTGTACTGTGTTACCGATGAAGAAGTAGGCATACTCTCCTATATATTACAATAGCTTTTTAGCTGATAGGTGTGTATACTTCAACTGGATAGAAGAAGAAGTGGGTATACCCCGTATACCTGAGTATACCCTCCACTACACCACTGAGTTTTTGAGTGTAAAATGGCTGCAGTGAACACGAGTGTGCTGTCAGGCGCATAGAGCATACTGGAGACACTGCTGTACTCTGCTTCTTTATTGAACACATCAAAAGGACGAGGAGTCAAGCTGACAAACCACATCGGACTACTTCATTGCATTGGACTGTATGCTGTGCTTCAGTTTACCAGGACACTATGTCTCCGCTGGACCTTCCCTGACCACTCGTGGTCTTTACCCCATGGATGCTATTTCCCTGCCTGAACCTTCTTGTGGACACATTTTGAACTGGCGAATAATCGTACTGTTTTTTTTCTCTGGCTGGCAGTGCGTTTTCGTTTGTTATAACTTCTTATCATTTTTATTATTATCTATTTTTTGTTTTTTGTTTTTGTCATTGTTTTCTTTTTTTCTGTCCTGTATTTTTATGTCCATGTTTGTGTATTGCCAGTGTTAAAAATTCAGAAATAAAATTAATGAGAAAGAAAGAACCATTGACCAGCTGGCTCAGGTCTATGCATTAATATTTATGTTGTGCTTTGCATTGATCATTTATGGTTGAATGTGGGTGTGTAGAGGGCGGGATATGAGGCTGACCTATGTGCCAACAATTCCAAGTTGATTTGGGATTTATGAAGGAAAACTGTGTACTGGCAGACGTACGCACGGCTTTATAAATCATAATATTTTTTGGCATACGTACATTTATTTATTATTATTATTATTATTCTTGTTATTATTATAATTTTGTCCACTTGTGACCAAGACGCATGTTAATACCAGATGTAAACAAGCTCTTGTGTCTTTTTTCCTGAGACCAGGAGCACAAATTCATACAATTTGAGACAATAACTTCAAACAGCGGTCTTGAGAACAAGACTGATTTTGAGTACTGCAACACAGACTGAAACTAAGCAGTGTGTTTTAGAATCAATTTTTAACTGTTACTAGTCATTTTTAAAGCATCTCACGGGCTGGAAACAAGCTATTCTGCAGAGGTTTTACGTCCCTCCACCCACACGCAGTGGCCTCTAATTAGTTGTCACACAGTCCAGGCTTGATGTCCACAGTGGAACGCAGCCTTTGCTGTCAGGATGGGAATGAAATCAGGTTCAGATTTTTACAGTGACTTGATGGGGTTTTGAAGTACTTGTAAGAGTAGGTCCGCAGTACAGTTCCTTTAATCTATATGTGACAGCAGCTCAAAGGTCAATCATGTTATCAATGGAATAACTTTGCAGAACACAAAGATGACTTCAAAGCAGACTGGACCTAACTTCAGGCTGGTGAAAACGAAGAGAGTGTGTTTGATCTTCAGAACATGTGGCAACCAGACACTTCAAATGAACCAATATCCTTAATGGGACAGCTACTGAGGAGTTACTGTGGAAACACAAAGAAAGCCAGACACTCTATATTATTATAATATGTCTCAAGATAATCTGTAACTGGGTGCTATCTGACAGTGTTGAAATAATGTTTCTCTTCTGACCTTCAGACTTCGGCTTTGGTTGTAAAGGCAAAAAAAAAGTAATTTTTTGGTTTTCAAATAGTTGGACGAACATAAAGGGTAAAGGTCAATTAAACTACAAGATACCAGATGTTTCCCAGCTTCAGAGAGCTGACAGAAACATCAAACTTGACCGATGATGTGTGGAAGATAACAGAGCAATATGTAAGAGACCCAGAGAGTGTCTCACCGTGGAGGCAGTGTATCCTTCCTCCACCAGGATGTTTCTTGCACAGTTGTTGATGTGTTTGAAGCGGTCGGGACCCAACAAAATACCTCCGTACCATCGAGACACGACCACCATGACATTACGCACGTCCAGGATCTGAAGTGAGAGACAAACACGTGGTGAAAGTGACATGAGTGTGAATTTGAAAAGCTGGCAAGAGATGAGCACTAGAAATCGTGACACAACACCCATCCCCTGGCAACAGTTTTTAAATGCAGTCAGATATTTCACACCAGATGCGATACGGTGGATGAACCTTCATTAAGTGTATCTGGCTCAGGCCATCAGCTGTCAGTCTAAAGCTGTTTCCCTATTTGGCAGCCTTCCACACAGTTAGATGAGAAAATTAATTTCGCTTTCATCTTCGTGTGTCACTATCTAGCTCCAGGAAAAGTTTAGCTAAGGTTAGCACAAACACTGGAAGGTTCAAGGTTCAATTTGTCATCCATAAAATCACGGAGGTTACAGCGCTGCAATCGCAATCAACAAATGCTGTTTATGAACATGGGCAGATTATGAGACAACGGGCCCCTGGGCACAGATATAAATAGGACCCCACCATCTTTCCTACGTTAGAGCAAGACACACAGACTTTGTGAAGGTTTTGCATCTCTTTGTGGTCATTTTGTGTCTTTCTGAGATAATTTTATGTCTTTTTGCTGTCGTTTTGTCCATTTTTTTAGTTATTATGTGTCTTTTGCATCTGTCTGTGAACTTTTTGTGTCTTTCAGCCTCGTTTGCACCAAGCAGTCCGGTTAGTTCAGCTTGGTACACATTAAAACTTTTATTTTTGTGTATCCATTGTGGAAAGTTGTAGATGGTACAAACAGAACTGTTCCATATGTCCCCATTTTTGGTCCCCCCCTCTGTTGGGGTATTAAGCACACTGATCTGATACTAAAAGCCTGAGCTAGAAACATGGTAGTCTGTTGACTGGTCAACAGAGAACAGACACTCTTGCTCAGGGCTGAGTTGTGGCTGGTTTTGAAGTTTATGTAACCACTGTTCATACTGTGGAGAGTTTTACATACATTAGTAAACTTGGATGTTTTGCAGCCTCTTCATCTTACTATATAATCTGTTTCACGTTTTTCTCCTCACTGACTTGGTCAATCCATGTGAAATTTGGCACAGTGGTAGAGGGTCACGGGAGGATGCGAATGAAGCAATATTACATCAATTGGCCAAAGGGGGGCGCTATAGCAACCAACTGAAATTGCAAACTTTGAATGGGCATATCTCATGCCCCGTATGTTGTAGAGACATGAAACTTTGCACAGAGATGCCTCTCCTCATGAGGAACAAATTTGCCCCAAGAACCCATAACTTCCGCTTATATAGATTTTCTGCCATTTTGAATTTTTTGAAAAACACTTCAAATGGATCTCTTCCTAGGAAGTTTGAGCGACCTGCATGAAACTGGGTGAACATAATCTAGGGACCAATATCTAAAGTTCCCTCTTGGCAAAAGTTGGAAAACTTACTAAAACTGAGCTTCTATAAGGCAATGAATATTGCGGAGGGCGTGGCTCATCACATAAAGGTGTATAACATCTCAAGGGTTTCACCCATCACCACGCAACTTTGTAGGCATATGACCACACATAATCTGAGGGGACCCCTCCATTATTGACCCCATCAAACAAAATGGGGGCGCTAGAGAGCTCATTTCTTATCTAGGCCTAACCGCCATATGGATTTTTACTAAACTTGGTAGATATGTAGAACAGGACGCCTCAAGGTGACTGGAGAAAATTTAACTCTAATTGGCAACTGGGTGGCGCTATAACAACAGAAAAATGCTTCAAAATGGCTAAAATGCGACCGATCGCTGTGGCTACCCCTGTGGACCAATGTTTGTTTTTCTTTCTAATGTTTGGTATGACTAAGTCATGGTATGGTATGCTGTACATAATCACGGAAACTGTCAGTCATTCTGTCTGTCCCACGTTTTTCTACTCACTGACGTGGTCAATCTATGTGAAACTGTACATAGGCATTGATGACTGGCATAGGTAGAAGGTGACAAAGCTACCAATGGGTATGGACTAGACTTTACTAATTAACAGTTAGCAGCTATAGACTGAGGGAAAATAATGTAATTCACTATGCTGCTGAAAGCCTACCAGCAACTTTTAAGGTGGAACGTTTCCTTGCATGTTACTCTTGACAATGCGAATCTATCAACACAATCTGATATGACAACTTCAACCATTCCTTTACTTTTAATTGTCCCTCTTGATTGATTTACACTTTGGTAATGACTGGATCTTGTAGCATTTAAAAATGCATAGGAATTCAAACAAGATTGTATGAACTGCTTATATTCTAATCTAGCCTGGTTCCAGACCATAGACCCCGCCCACTCAACTGAGTAGGCTTGCATCTCTGGTCTGGCATACTGCAATAAATTTGCGATTTATCTTGTCCAAATGATGGAAGGACCAATGAACGCCGGGGGTGGGGGCGGGACTAGTGATTAGCCAATCAGCGCCACACTGATGTCAAGCTGTGCGCCGGTGGGTAACTGGTAAGGATAGCAACAATGGCGACCGCTACAGATCCTACAGACCACATTAACGATACTATCGAGGTATTTCGCCACCACTCGCATTAATGGAGGACCAAATTAAGGAAGCTGCTAAACTGGATTTAACGGTGATGCAGCTGGGCGTGCACGACGATGGAGACATTTTAAAAGGGCAATGCTCGCTTGTTTTCGGCACCCCCGAGGCATGGATACTAATGATGTCAGATTCTGGGTGAGTCGTTGATCTCTACTGATTGGTTAGGGAAAAAATCAAATTCCCTCCCCCTTGTAAATCACCTTCAATGGAGGCGATGTCAGACTGAAGGTTCTGAGAGCTTCAGTCTGACACTCAGACTAATTCTAGTCCTCACTTGAAGAAAAAAAATGTAGTGGAGCGTTGTAACAGAGCATCATAGCAGAGCGTACTACTGGTGCACTCTGGCAGCACTATACTCCTGCTCTTGCTCAAGAAGGACTCTTATTCCAGCCTGGTCTTTTTTGTGCTTATAATGTCTGCATGCAACACCTTTCCATGGACATTTCTATGTATAACTGATGAGGAGTAAATACACTGAAAGCTGGACAGAGCAGTGAGTGACAACAACCCCGCCTACATTTAACAGCCCTGTCTGCGGAGGAAACACTCAACACATGCAGGATTTAGGTACATGCTCACATAGGTTACGTACAGTTCTAAAGGCACTATACTGAAAGTTTTTGGTGGAAACGCAACTTTAGTGGTCATTTTGAGTCTTTAAAAGACATTTCAAGTGAAGGCCAGGGGGCCCCCTGAGATTTTGGGCCCCTAGGCCTGTGCCTTGTAGACCCGTTCAGTAATCCATCCATGTTTTCGAAAATAAATACCCCCAAATATCAGCTCAAACTACTTAAATTGGAATCCACAAATCAATAAAGAACTGTTTAAGGGAGAGCCAAAAAAAAAAAGAAGGAAGTCACAACAATAGCCTTAATCCTATAATTAAAGCGCTCTAATCAATATCTTTAAATTAACAATGGATCAAATGTTGAGCGGATTTTTCTTTTTAAATGTTGTCCCTAACTTCCTTGGGCTAAGCTTCTAACATGTCCTGCGTCTCTCTACTGAACACAGAGAGATTAAATTGACATTAATCTCATCAAACTCTTCATAAAGAGCAAATTCCTCAAAATGTCAGACCATTCCTTGAACATCAAATGCCTTTTTTTTATTCATCACCTCACGCACTACCACATTCAGAGGCAGAAAGCACAAATCTAAATGAGGAAATGGGAAGAAAGGCTGGTGGAGTGGAATGAGATTAGAGAAGAATATATTAAGGAGAAAGCTCTTCATGTAAATTGCTCCGAACGCTGAGAGTGTGACAAGTAGAAGATTAATCAGTGTGTTGCTACGAGGACAGCAGACCTGATGCTATCACTCCAGTTACAGTAGGTCAGTCAGCTGCAGGAGGTGACCTGACAGTGCATCTTTGAATCCACTCTTCTGTACATATGCCCACATGGGTTAAGAATATGAGGAAAAGTTGCATTTATCTGTTTAATAAGTGTGCCAACTGGGCTCACTGGTTGTGTTGAGAAGCACAGATTTTCAAATTATCAGAAATAAATAAACCAGCTGGACTCAGACAAGCAAAACTACACTCAAACCAGTGAACGACTGTAGGAACAAGCATTGGATAAAAAGTCAAATTCATATCATCATTGCAAAACTTTAACAAAATATGATTTTTAAATTGGGAAAATATGATCAAATTTGCTGATATTTTACTTGTGTATAAAATTTGTCATGGCCTGGCACCTCCTCTACTCAATGAAGTCATCTACCAAATCTACCACTGGGGGGATTGTAAAATACCACACAGAAAGAGCAGTCAGTCTCTCTCCAATCGAGCAGCACACACCTGGAACTCTGTACCCACAAGACTCAGGAACATCACATCTCTTAAGTCATTCTCCGGATCAATAAAACAGTGGTTACTGGACGATCAAACATGTTGTCATGATCTAAATTAGTGGTTATGTCCCTGTTTTCTTGCTGTATGTTAGAGCTTGCATGCTTTTGTAAGGTTTTCCTAATGGACGTGCAATTACGCATCATAATCTGAACTTCAGTGACCAATTTGTGCCACGGTAGCCAATCAGCCTCCGGCAGAAGTTCTTTCATGAGTGATTCAGCAATTTCACACCTGTATGATGTGAGTTATTCATGCATATGAAGCATGTCAAGAAAACTATTCTCGTGTTCAAACTTGTGCAAGTAACGCTATGCAAAAATTTGCATCTCGTTAGAACTGCACGTAACCCATATGGACCTCGGGGTTGGACAAAGACAGTCCCCCAATCCCAAATGGATCCCTTATGGCCGGTATACACTGTGCAATTTTGGGCTGTCCCAGGCGAAAGATGGCCATCGTGGGAGAAAAGTGGCGATATCTTTGGTCGTGGCTCTAAAACAGTGGTCTTACGTCGCACTGTGAGACAGGTTCAAGACTGGCCGTTGTCAACGTCTTGCGACCAAAGATAACCTGAGATAAAATTCTGACGGTGTCAGAAATTTAGGATGACC